CGGCATCTCGAGGACCCGATCCTGCAGGGCCCCCATGCGGACCTTCAGGGCTTCAAACTGCTCCTGCAGGTCCTCCAGGGTCATGTACTGCCCAGGCCGGTCTTGGCAGGGGGACCCACTATCCTGCAGAGAGCCAACTGGTCGGGGGCAGGGGTGGGCGAGGCACATGGAGGATGCAGGTGGGCAGCCCTGGGGGGGTTGCTGTCACACACACGCTCATGGGGAGGGCTGAGGGGACTTGTCCCAGACATGCTGCTGGCATGTCACCAGGCACTCTGTGGCCACACCTGTCTAACAGCCCCTGTGGGGCTGGGAATGGGGAACACAAGGGGGCCCTCTCAGCCCCTTGCACCCCTGCCCGCAGTGTCTGGGCAGCTTGCCATCCCGGGGACTCTGCTGGCTTGAAGTCCACCCCAACCTCCATGTCCATCCTGCCAACCCCAGCTGGAGCGGCGTCCTCAGCAGGAAGGAACAGCTCCCACAGGGCCCACACTGCGCCCACAGGCCTGCCTCTCAACTACCTGCATTCCAGGCCCGGGCGGGCAGTACCTCCCTCCCCACTTCACACAGTGACACTGGGCCCAGGCCATGGGTGGCGGCCAGGACGGACCCCAAGCTTGCAGACATGTCCCGAGACGCAGGCTGCCATGCAGCTACGCCAAGTCTGGGCCATCTGGCCATCGGCAAGCTGACCCTTCCACCTGAGGTCTCCGGGGCAGCTTTGGAGGTGAGCTCCGGCCCTGGTCTTACAGGTAAGGACCCCGAGCCCAAGCCATCTACAAAGCAGCTTGAAAGTGAGTGGGGTCTGCTCTGTACCCTGACATCTGGCTCACAAGAAACCCACAACCCAAGCAGCACACACTGCTCTCTAGCCCAGGCTGACTTATCGGGACCTGTAGGACAGGATAGAACTGTCCCTGAGAGTTTCCGAGGCTGTCACTCTTTACAGGAGTAGAAAGTCCCATCTTTCTCCCTCGGACCAACGGGTGGTGTTGAACAGCTGATTCAGCAGTCCAATGTGTAGCTTACTATGCCACAAAACAAAAGTTATAAACAACAAAAGACAGACCACACACACACGAGGGAAGGAGCAGAGCAAGGTCGCCCTCACCTGCCTGGTGTCCTCTCAGAGCTCCTTCACTTTGTTTCCTTCTGTCTACCTGGTCTTGGCTCTCCAGCCAACGTCCTGGGACTGGCCTAAGCCCAGAGAGGACTGGGGGGCATTCTGGGTACCTGAGGACTAGCCCAGAGGCCTAGGAAGCCATGGGTTGCTTGGGTGCTACACAGGAGTGGCCTCACTGCCCGGCAGGTGCTGGCTTACCTGCAGGCCTGGTGACACGGGAGTCTCCCAGACTTTGCCTTTGAACAGGTATTTGAGCTGCCTCCTCAGAGTCTCCCTCTCTTCCCGCAGGATCAGGAGCTCCTCGTCCTTCCTCCGACTCTGCACCTCCAGTTCTGACAGGCGCTGGACCTCCTCGCTCAGCATGAACAGGCAGTTGTCCTGCGGGAGAGGGACCGCCCACATGGGCCCACACGGCCTGGCGGGCCTCTTCGCTCTCACCTCACCAGTGGCTCTGGCCAGTGGGAGCAGACTCTAAAGCCTGCAGCCATGCCCTGTGTCCTTGTCCCCTGCACCTGTGCCTAAGTGATTGTTGGGTGCCGCCCAGGGTAAACAGTCCCATACCGGGAGCCCCTGTGGTGTGGTGGATTATGCATTGGACTACGTAGAACAATCCCATAGAGTTTTTTAGGCTGTCACCTTTATAGATGTAGGGCACAAGGGCTTTCTCCCACAGAGCCCCAGTGGGTTTGAACCCCTGACCTTTCAGCTAGCAGCTGAGGGCTTAACTGTTGTGCCATGAGGGCTCCTAGGCAAAGGTCCTAAATGAGCTTCCGGGAGGTTTGTGGGAAGCCTTCCCTTCCAGTCAGGCTCCCAGCCAGTCTCTTCCCCCAAAGATGTCAGTCCTCTGTGCCATGCCCCCCACCCCACAACCTGGCACTGCTCCCCAGGAGCCAGCCCTCTTTCAGGGGCTTGCCAAGGGAGCAGGTTTTCTGTCCCTCCGCAACCTTCAACTCCCCCAGCTCTCCAAACATTAACATGTTCTCAGGCGGGCAGAAAGCATTTGTCACCAGCAGATATGAACTTAAAAAGAAAAACCACACACCAAAGAGGATTCTTCAGGCAGGAGGAACCCTGACCCAATTCTGGGAGGAAAGATCCCCAGAAAACCTCCAAGTGTTTGGAAATGAAGTGATGTGTCCCGGATCCCTGGAGAAACGATGAAGGATGTTAGAAGACACAGTGGAAGGAAAGACCATTGTTTCCCACCATCCACCACCATCCAGCAGGTTCGGATTTTCACAGGGCTTCAGAGACTGTAACCTTTCACGGGAGCACACAGCCTCATCTTTCCCCCGTGGAGCAGCTGGTGGGTTTCAACCATCGAGTCCAGAGCCGACTCAACAGCGCCACAGAGTATGGGGTGCAGCAAAAGCTGTGACTAAACACACATTCATAGCCTTAAAAATGCACACCTCGGGAAACAGAGTTGAAATCCACGACCTAAGCTTCCATCGCAGGAATTCACAAAAGGGGCTGGAAATTAAATCGGAAGGAAATAGGAAAGGAGGCCTAAGCAGGTAAGGTGCTAGAAGGAATAATGGAGGGAGAGGAGGGGGAGGGGTGCAATGGGGGAAGGAGAAAGCAAAGGTGGCAACATTGCAAGACCTGGAGAATCTGATTGGAGTGTATGGGATGGTTATCTGTGCTACTCAACAACTTCCTCTCCATCTGAATTACCAGCAAAACACAAGTTTAAGGGGG